GTTACAGGGTGTTGATAAACGTCTTTCATGTTGCACCGCGCGGGGAGGAGGAGGAGGGAGAGGGAGTATGGTCCAGGAAGGGAGGGGAGGGGAGGGAGGAGAATGGGAGAGGGGGAGAAGGAGGAAGAAGAGAAGGGAAAAGGGGAGTAGGAGGGAGGATGAGGAGGTGATGAGGGAGGGAGGAGGGGTATGCTCCACCCTTAGTACCCTTCCCTCCTTCTCTTCAAGGGCTGCGCTCTAATTCGGCGTTACAGGGTGTTGATAAACGTCTTTCATTTTTCAAATAAAGTACTTGCAGTTTTTTGGAGGCCACGAAAATGGGGTTCGTATTCGTTTCCGTATTTAATACTGAATGTGTGCCTTAGATGACCCAAGAATTTTAATATATTTTGTACCCATTGTGTGAACCCCACGCGGTCATGGAAAAGAAGTGAGCGTGACTGAAGCCAGCCAATTCTCGACCGGCTGTTTTCGGGCGGCACAAAACGAATCTCGAGCCGGGATAAAGCATCGTATGAAATATGTAGCTTGTACTGTGGGGGTCGTTTATAAAATACCTTTTCCTGACGTAAAGTGTTATATTGCGCAGACGGGCACATGAATTAATGTTAGAACTCGAGAGCATTCTCTGTCTTTGAAATCTTCACCTTCTGGTCACCTAGCCCTTCATTGCGATAGGTGTGGCTGTTCACCTCGGTTAGGTGACATCGAACTTTCGCCTGGACATTCACAAAAATGGCTAAGGAAATTCATGAAGCATTTTCATTCAGCAACACGGTTACGATCTATATATGCGTAAGTCCAGAATCAGTTACGTTATCCAGCGAAGAGTTTGAGTTTGTTCGGATTTTGGGCACGTTTGTTCAATACTTTGTTTCAGCTTCTGTGAGAGCGATTCTATGGCTACAAGCGCGTACATGCAGCCTAAAAACAGTGCCCACACACCATTAGGCCCGGTGCAAGAGAGAAACGTACAAGAATAAGGGCTCGCGGTAGTTTTGGTTTCGGTCAGACCTGAGGTGGAACGATGTAGAGTTATATATTTCTCTACTATTTAATTTCATTTTTTATTCTTTTTTTTTGTAATGATATTTTCTGTTAGAAATTTTTCGGATTACCCCTACATATGGAATTCTTTTTTTTTCTTTGTTTGTCTTCTTATGTTTATGTGTTTTAAGAAGACGAAAAAGATAGTAAGTCGTTAGCGCTGTGTCTGCGTCCCTTATTCTATACTTGTCATTGTGTTCGTTTGCGCTGTTTTAATTGTATGTTTACTTTGCGCCGCCGACTAGCCCACCTCCAATCATTACTGCGAACATTACTCGAGCCAGAAATTGTCACCTGGTCGGTTAGGCTCTAATAGGTCATGTTAGAAAAAAAAAAAAAAAAAAAAACAACCTCGGCGAGCCTAAATACCCTGTTAGAGTTCCTTTAAAAAACACAGAGCAAGGCGAGTGCGAAACAACATATTTTTGCTCAGTAGTCCATTCGATTGCGTCAACGAATGACAGAGAAGAGAACATGAACATAATAGGTCCTGCGTTGTTTTTTTTTAAGTTGTCGGTGACTATAGGAGGCATAGGCCTACTCTATTCTTTTTATCCTTCAACCCTATTGCTTTATTTTGATGAGAGAGACATCCTCGCCGAAATTTCTAGTCTCTTCCCAGACACCAGTTTTTATTATAGATGCGTGATTTCTAAGCGAAGTGGTCGATTGCTTGAACTTTTCGACCGACCAATTTTTTGCGATTGTAGTTATCTAGCTCTACGGGAGAGGAGTTTACTCGAGGTTGCTCATTCCATAATTATTTCTGAAGTTTTCGATTCGGTTCATTATTCAGTAACGGCCTATGTCCGATTGTTGTTAGTAAAGTTGGCATATGCGTATTCCACCAACTGCAAAAAGCTTTATTTTTAAGAAGTATAGTACTGCGACGTAACTCGTTTAGGTATGCTTTAAAGCAAGAGGAGATTGTTTTCGCTCCATGCTAAATTTAGGATATGTAAAGAGTCAGACACAAATCAGCAGGCTTTCATCTATTGCTGGTAGGAATTCCTTTTTTTGGCAAACTTGAAAACAGGCTCCACCAATCTAGGCACAATCTCTAAGTTTTACTCGTGAGTAGGCTTGAACCACTACTTAAAAAAAATCAACGAATCGTTTTTCTGAACAGCAATGACTGGGCCCGACCCTGGCAAAAGAGACCGCGTTATGAAAGGAAAACATGGACGGTTCAAACAATTTGGATCATTGGTATATTATAGATCCACCTGTCGAGTCAGTGTACACTCTAAGACATCTAGTGCGTCTACTTCCCCGAACAACACTTGGGAGAGTGAATTCCTGTAATCCAGGGAGGGCACCTCGGCGAATGACGAGGCTGACACTAAACTAAGACCTTAAAATAAACTGTGCTGCGACATTGAGCCTGACATAGCACGCGAAAGGTTATGGTATGAATCACAGTGCAGCATGGAGGTAAGAAGCTTCTGGAGGCGACATGCGCCACCAGAAGTGGAGCCAGAAGTGTGGAGGGACACCGTCCTAACAATGACCAGAGCCACAGCTGTTTTGGTCACCCTCGGGTGCACCCAAGGCTGACCAAAAGAGCTGTGGTTTTGGTCATCGTTGGGAGCGTGCCCCTTAACAGTCCTGGCTTCACCTCTGGTGGCGTCGTATCAACTCCAGTATCTTCGTACTCCCATGGAGTGCAGCCTATATTCTTTACGGTTTAAACATATGTTCAGTTTCATCATTCGCCGGGATTCCTCCACGAATTACAGCAATGGGTTCTTCCAAGTATTTTTGTGGGAAAAGCAATCGGCTAGGTCACATCGGCTAGGTGCCATGAAAAAAGAAAGAGAATTTAGAAACTAAAAGCACGATCCGAAAATAAAATTAGCTGCGATTTTCTTCTGCACACTCCTCTAATGCATGAAATGCAGTAATAAAGACCGATTATTTAATCTTGATAAGAACACACCTAACAGTGGTTTTGGGGAAAGAGGAACATATTATTTACGACTTTGTTAAATAGTTTTGGGAATTTGACAGCACGTGCCACCATGATATCACGTGACACCAGGGGTTGACACCGTGACGTCATGGTGTTGCGTGACTTCACTTCCAATGATGTCACATCGATCTCCGCACACATGTCAGAAGGAAAATGACGTCACGGAGTCAAGTGCTGGTTCACGTGATACCATGACTTCAAAAAATGACAATTTCCACGCTAAATTTAGCGGAGAAATGCATGGATGAATGGACATCTTTCTGGGGATCAGAGAGTTGTGTGAAAAGGCATTGCATGCTATAGCAACGTTCGGTCCCTCTTGTAAGCGGCCTTTATCCAATCGACCTGCTTTAAAATCCTACGCCACTTTGTTTGGCAACGCCCTCTAGCACCGATAAATTCCCGCAGGGAACGGAGGGATCGGGAAGCAGCGGAGCGGACTCATCTCGGCTCAGATAGACCCCGGACTGAGAGCCGTTTTAAGGGGGCCGAATAACGTACATTTGCCGTGAGTGAGAATTTGTATGAAAGCAATTTCTAAAGCAGCGACCACCAGGCTCGCTTTGTTCACCAGAGCCGTTTCTGGCTCTTTCGGGGGACAGCGCCGTGCGTTCGCTCTGGCGTGTTTCCGGCCTGGCCTTCCATTAGATGGATTTGCATCCCCTTTTTGTTCCGCGCAGCCTCAGGTAGCAAGCGGCTCCTGGGAGTGTGGACCGCCCCGTGCTGTGCAACAGAGGTTCTTCGGGTCGGAAGAAAGTAAAAAAAAACACGAGGGACATTTTCTGCCTCCAAGCCATTGTCGAGTTGTGTCGAGTGCCGACTACTTTTTCACTCTGACATAGATAATTGGGAAGCAGCGGCAGCAAGCGTTTTCTTTTTGTGTCGATACCTTTTATTCGTGAAGATATGTTTTAGAGGGCTGGACATTTGGAGTTTTGTTTTTTCAACGACGAGACTATAAATAATAAAGGATATATTTCCCTCTGCGTATTGAACAGCGATATGCATAAATTAGCAGCATTAATTCGATTCTATCTTTTTTATATTTAGAGCCCTTCGAAACATCTTGAGGGTAATGTGTCGAAAAAAAAAGACAAGAACGAAGGCTTAAATAAGTCACTATTTCAACGCCCTTTCTGATTAACCATGAACATCACCAAAAAATCACCATACCATAGCATTTATATATTTTGTGTAGTAAGAAGATAAGTAATAAGAAGATAAGGCTGAAACAAATAAAATTGCAACTTTTCAAACATTGCCTATCCCATTAAGAATGCCGTAATTCGAGTAATTCTTCTGCTCAATTATTGAAATGCTCGTTATTACTCAATAACATCAACCATTAAAATATTTGTCACAGTAACCCTGGAGCGAGTGAAGAAAAAAGGGACGGACAGACACGAAACTTCGGGTCGTGTTGGAGATTCGTGTCTGTTCGTCCCCTTTTTTGTCCCCTCGCTCCAGGCTTACCATGTCCGTTTTTAACCATACCTAGTTCAGTGTTCATCCTACAGAGCCTTTGGGACTTTTATGGAATTATTTGACTTTATGATGCACTTCCTACTATATGGTTGCACACATCTTTAACCCTTTATTGTTTTTTGTTTTCTTTTTTTACCGTCAAGCGTGCCAGCTGGGTATATATTATTAAATGACTCACGATAAAAAACGTTTATCACTGCATACGAAAAACGGTTAAGACTCTAGTGTTGTAAATTATGGCACTTGTCTTCCAATTTCGCTTGGGGAAGATAGAAAGGAATCACGACACATCAGTTTAAACGAGAAAAAAAATGTGTTGCATCGAATGTCAGTTTAGCGATTTTGGCGAGTAGAACACTCATTTGCTTACCCAAGTGTTTGCGTTCACAGTTTCTTCCTTTTCCGCTATGTAACGTGCGCTTTACTAAATGAATAAGTCTCAGTCTTTCCTTCTTTCATCGTGCAGGGTCTGAAAAAAGAAAGAAAGCAACACATGATGCCGACCCCGGCAGCACTGGTGATCCTCCTGGTCTTGTGTAGTTGCAGCGGAGCGAACGAGGTAGTTCGAGAAACAAGGCATGGCAGAGTTCGGGGAAAGAAGATCGAGACGCTGGGTACCACAGTCGAGGAGTACAAAGGAATCCCTTACGCCGAAGCCCCGGTGGGCGACTTACGTTTCAAGGCACCAGTACCCCGGCCGCCATGGGAAGGTACTATCGACGCGGACTTAGAGGGAATCGCATGCCCACAGATCAATGTCTTCAGGACCTTGAAACTCGAACTGACTTATACAGAGGACTGCCTCTTCCTCAATGTGTGGACTCCGGAATATGCCCAGGGACGCAATGTTCTCGTGTGGATACATGGCGGCGGGTTTGTATACGAGAGTGCCTTCATGCCCTACTACAACGGAGTCGCCCTGGCTGCCAAGACGGGCTTTGTCGTGGTATCCATGAACTATCGCCTCGGCATTCTCGGATTCCTCAATGCCGATTCCCCGGACGCTCCCGGAAACCAGGGTCTGCTCGATCAGGCCCTGGCCCTGAGGTGGGTCCGAGACAACATCGAAGTCTTCGGAGGAGATCCGTCCAAGGTCACCATATTCGGAGAAAGTGCTGGCGCCATGAGTGTCAACTGTCACCTGATGTCCCCTGTCAGTAAGGGACTCTTTCAAAGAGCCGTGATGATGAGCGGAACCATGTTTAGCGTCGATTTCTTCGACACGGTTCACGAGAGCCTGGTGAGGGGAAACGATGTCGCTAAGGTGATCGGCTGCGCGGCGGAAGGCAAGGATTTGGTATCCCATCCCGACGAGGTACTTCGGTGTTTGAGGTCGAAGATGGCGGACGAACTGGTCCTCACGACCGCAGAAGTAACGCGGCCAAAAGCGTTTTCGTTCTTTCCAACGATTCATAACGAGTTTCTACCGAAGGTTCCCCTGAATGCCATGAACCGCGGATTCTTCAATAATGTCGACGTCCTAGCCGGAGTCACGTCAGACGAAGGAGCTTTAGTTCTCGCTTTTCCTACAAAGTCAGAACTGTTGAGAGAGTCTTTGGAAGACTTTGATCTAGCCAAGGTGGAGCGGTTACTCCTCGAAGCGGTGTCTTCCTGGACGAAGGTCGAAAACCCTACCATGCTTGACCATTACAGAAAAAACGTCAGCCCTGTAGGAGACAAAGGAGAGCTTGTGAGGTCGCTCCTGGACTATTTGTCAGACAGAGCGTTCGTGTGCCCGTTGCAGTTCTTCAGCGAACGATATGCAGCGAGAGGGAACGCCGTCTATTCCTACGTGTTTGCACACAGATCGCGAAAGGACAAATTCCCTTCGTGGATGGGTACACCGCACGGCTACGATATCTCGTACTTCTTCGGTTTTCCTTTGATCGCTGACGCTCACTTCACGGCAGAAGACAAAAGCTTCAGCAGGGACATCATAAAAATACTGACGTCGTTTGCTGCAAACGGGTAAGATGTAAAGAGTATTTCTATGCACTCTCTTGATGACACGTGATCTTTGAAAAAAATTAAAGCATACGAAGCCTTATGTATGCCGGGTAAACTAGCCTCTTAGCAAAAGAAATGACGATAGTCAGTCGATATATTGGGTCTATGACGAACCTTGTTTTTGTAGAGTGAAAAACAGCTTGCGTCTCACTAAAAGCTTAGATTGTGTAAGAATGAAGTGTCAGCAGTTTAGGTAAGATACCAAAATCTAGAAACGCACGGCTACCCAAGTGAATAGTTAAAGTAACAATACAACAACTATAGTTGAAACATGTAAAAAGCATATAAGTGGGCCTTTTTATTCGGAGATCTTATTCGGGGCAAGAAAAGTTATCCCGGCCTCAGTGAGTCAACATTTCAAGCATAACATAGAGAACGCTGAGAGTTTACGTCGTCCACGCACAGTTTGTATTGCACATTATGTGTTTCTACTTTTTCCTATGTATCTGGGAGTCATTTAAAAGTTTAAAATGCTATGCACCTCGAGGTGAACCCGCGCCGCTAGTGCGCGACGAGAGTTGAATTCATTTATTATATTATGATGAACTTTTGACGCTGCTTGCTTGATTGACCCCATTGGATGGTAGGGTGGGTTTCGGTCGGACTTAAAGGGAAGCGGAGAATAAAGTGGATAGCGCGGCGTAGATAGCACACCACAGATCTCAACGACGAGACCTTTGTTGCGGTTAAGGTGTACAAGTCAAGTTGAATTATGTTTTTTTAACGAGATATACAATTGTCTTTTTAGCATAAAAATCCAGCAATGCAAAAGGGAAACCAAGTCGAATGTTTTTATGATATTGCTACTGTGGTACGCAGAATCAAATGTTCTCCGCACATGTTTACATACAGCTCATAGGTTGATCTTAAATATGAATCTTCCTATCTGTTCGTGAAGTGAAAAAAAATGTTACTGCCTAATCTACTAGCGATTGGACTGATCACCAGCAAAATATAAGAAGAAACAAATCTACACATTTGACTTCCAATTTTTGTACGAAATAGTTACACATAAAGAAAAAAACACAGAACACAGCGAAAGTTTCGCCGTCTGTGTTCTGTCCTTTATGTGTAAAAGTTTTGTAATAAAAAAAAGTATCCAATGCCAACGCGTTTCCTAAAATAACAGTACATTTGACTTCTTAATGTGCTTTGCTATACTGTAACTAACGTATTTTATTCTCATATAAATCTTTACATTGTGCAACCCACAGGAAATAAATGGCATCGAACTTTACTTTTAAAATCTTAAAATGCACGAAATGCAGCATATTTAAGGAGAAATTGCTTATGTTTGTCTAGAAAACATGAGACAGTTTTTTTTTTCTGGACGTGAAGAGCATAAATGCCACCTTTAAATTTAACGGGGAAGCCATGGGGAAGCCATACGTTCGTGACGTTAGGTCATATGAGGTCTCAATAAAACCGGCCAGAATGAGCACATTAAAATAATAAAAAAATTTGAAAGCTTCAAAGCTTCAATAAGGGTGCTGCCAGCTTCATAAAAAACTGGCAGCACCCTATGTATCGAAATTTTTATTACGCTTGGACTGCAGTATTTAGTTTAGAATTCATTACACCGTCGTTTCGAGAAGTGAAGTTCCTTTATTTTTATCGAATTCCCCGATACATTGAGCTGGGAAACTAAATTTGTATTAAGGTGTGGTGACGACTATGGGGGGAAGGGAGCAGTCTTTCATATTTTTCTCTAAAAATATAATACTTTAATAAAACATTGGAAGTAGTTTTAATTTCACAATAATTGTAAAGTATTGGAAATTTGCGACCGCTCTCATTGACGGTCACAAAAATGCTAATGAGGCCTACCGTATAAGTTTGGGTACTATAACGGATAAAGGCGCAATAAGTAACTAAAAAACGTTATCGAATCTTTCTTTTTGTTCACCCGACTTTTTTGTTTCAACGTAGAGCCCCACCTATTATTCGTTGAAAATTTATCAACATTGAAGCATTAAAGAACTAATTGTAATGTTGCTTAATGAATTGCCCTTTCCCTCTTGCCACCGAGGGAGGTCATTCGCATTATTATTGGAATTCTGGTGATAGTCGCTAGCCCGTATGAGCAGAGTGTCCAACTGGAACCTAACCAAACTGAAAACCGGAACGCAACCATTATTTTTAAATAACCGGATTCGAGCCGAGCCGGACTGAAACATTCGCCAATATCTTGACACTAAACCAAAAGTGAACCGAAAAAAAAAAAATATAGCGCTGACCTTTCAAGATAGTTCACGGTATTTTGGTTTGCTTCTTTTTTCGGTAATATTTCTATTTGAGTATCTGAGGATCAAAAATTGGCAGCTGAACTACTGTGCATTGATCAAATCGTCATGTGCAGAATTTGCAATGTATAAGAAATTGCGGCTTGTCGACGCACTTTTCTATTGGCACTATGATTAATCATTTGTCGTCACTTGTCACGTTGTCACGAGACGTCATGGTGTCTATCAGGTCACGAGGCCCCGCAACGTCACGGGACATGCTCATGTGACTTACTGCGTCAAGTCTATTCAAGTTGAGAGCCTCACTAGATTAATTAGCGTTGGGGACATCGTGACACGACATGACAACAAGACTTCGCACCGTTTGTCACGTTACATTGTGGCGTACTTCATTTTTGTGAGCTCGAGACAAGTGCTCGGGTTCACGACAATCGGCATCGCGAAACATTCAGGGAATGGATCGTGTTCAACTACAAAAGAGAATAGCCAAACCCTAACAATATCTGAAGCTCAGTCCATGCTCTATGCCTTGCCCCATCGTATGGCTATGATGAACACTGACAGTATATAATTTGCGTCAGAACACGTGGCCGTTTGTTATAATTGCGATTTGAGGAGGGGAGAGCTGTTTTTTTTCCTTCATTCGTTATTTTTGTCTACCCTAGCGTTGAGTGGAAAACTAATGGCTGTCTCGCGAGTTATCAACGTTAGGGATTAGTTTTTAGCAGTATTGGCGGTAACGCGTTAAAAGTAACGGCGTTACAGATAACGCGTTACATGTAATGGCGTTGTCCGTAGTGGGGTTCTTTTTTTCGGTAATGTGTAATGTACTCATTACATTTTTAACACTCTAATAGGTAACACACTTACGTTACTTATTTCGTGTAACGAGTAACGTACTTCCTGGTTACATATTCTTCCTAAGACCTAAAAGTATTATGCTTGCATTTTTATTGTGTTTGTTACCAAGCTATGCAAATTTTTGAGTTTTTTGCGTTTTCGTTTTTGAGTGTCTAGGTGAAACCGTGAAAAATAAAGTAATTATGTTCAGTTTCTGTATGAACATAATATTTCTTGAATTATGGCTCGTAGGCATCAATCGAAAATCGTGTTAATTCAGACTTAAAAATAAGTAACGCAAAAATAACCTCCGTCACTTTTTATCGGTAACGGTAACGGTACAGCGTTATTTTTATTTTGGAGAAACGTAGGACGGTATCGCGTTCATTTTATTTGCAGGCAACGGATAACGTACTTTTTTTCCTTTGTCTCAGTAACAGCTACAATTATTTACTTAATTCGTAGCAGTATCTACAAAAAGGTACGAATACTGTTGCACGACCAATTTTTACAGCGGAGCTGTTAAGGGCTAGGTTCCCCAGGATCGTGTCCGGTACCAAAATCTTGTCGACACAAACCTCCAAAAACCTCTGAACAACTATAGCCATCTATAAGCGACGGCGGCAAGCACACAACCAGTCTGGTTGCCGCCGTTGCTTGTAGATGGCGGCAACGTTTCCAGCTATCATAGAAGAATGTATAGTTTGGCGCGTTGGAAGGAATTCATCGTAGGAAACAGTACGAAGACAAAGGACGAAGAAGAAACACACGTGACCAGCGCAGCGCTCGTCACGTGTGTTTCGTCGTTCTTGTCTGTTTTGCGCGCTGTTTTCTACGTTCTTATCAGTTTCGGTTTAGACTCAGGATGGGCCGTGCGCGTGCCCTTTCGGGGAAAGAAGACTGGGTGCGGAAACAGCAGCGACGTACGCAGCAACGCGAATGGGTCCGCAACCGACGCGAATCCGCTGTCGCCTCGACTTCCACAGCGAAAGAGGGGCACGTCGCTTGCCTGGAAAGCCGCCGCCGAGAACAAAACCAGCGATGTAAACGGCGCCGGCGGGCTACGGAGGCCAAGCGCAAGTGCGAGGCCCGTGACGACAGCACCCCACGCCGGCTGAACAGTTCCCGGGTGCGACGGCGAGGTTCTGGAGTGAGTTCGTGGAAAACTCGCTTGGCGTCACGTGCGCCGTGTGCGACCGACTCTGGTTCGCCGGAGACTTATCCACGATCGGCGGCGTGTCGGACGAGAAGAATCGGGAAACGGGCGCGTGCGCGTTGCAGCAGTCTATTGAGTCGGCGGATGTCTACAAAGAACCGGCATGCAGATCGTGCCGAGATTCCCTGCTCAAAGGCGGGGTGCCCCGGCTCGTGACCGTGAACGACTTACCCACCCGTACCGGAGCACCCACCGAGGTTGAACGTGGTGGAGGAACGACCAGTGGCGCCTCGACTCCCGTTCATGAGCCTTCGGCGGTTGACGTGGTATAACAAAGACAACCGGGGACAATACGGTTTTCACATAACTAATTATCCAATCAAACCTTAATCCTTACATTTATAAATACTTAATTTTCAGCATAGTTCAGCTTTGCTGGTTTTCCTTCTTTAAGAGAGTGGAAAGGCTGAGAGTTTCCCATATACACATCACTGATGCATCGCAGCATGCTCTCGTTGTTGCTGAACAGTCTCAGAGCGTTGTCCCCGAGAATAGAAGCCTTGGAAGAACTAAATGTATTTATCTTACGTTACATAATACAAGTGAATGAGGAAGGAATCCTTGAAAAGAAAGACCCTAATGGTCTTAGGGTCGTGGGCAGATTGAGGTAGGGGGAGGCACCGCGCCCCCTACGCCCCCTAGGCCTACCTTTCTCTTTAATGGAAA